GTGGCTCACGCCTGTAATCCCAGCACTTTGGGAGGCCGAGGCGGGTGGATCACGAGGTCAAGAGATCGAGACCATCCTGGTCAACATGGTGAAACCCCGTCTCTACTAAAAATACAAAAAATCAGCTGGGCATGGTGGCGCGTGCCTGTAATCCCAGCGACTCAGGAGGCTGGGGCAGGAGAATTGCCTGAACCCAGGAGGCGGAGGTTGCGGTGAGCCGAGATCGCGCCCTTGCACTCCAGCCTGGGTAACAAGAGCGAAACTCCGTCTCAAAAACAAAACAAAACAAAAAAACAGATGACCTTGAAGTGCTACAGACTCTGTAGCATCCACAATCCATGAAAGAAGAAGGCTGGGCAAAACGGTTATGCAAATTACTCCAAATTACTAGCAGCTTAGGCTTGCAGAAGGAGAAATAGACACCGGAGCGGGGCTGGAAGTGAAGAAACCGGGCAGTGAGAGAGGAAATAAGGGTGCTAAGGACTCCGGAATCTTCTAGATGGAAAGGCTGTAAAGATTTTTACACTAGTAAAGAATTTTTTTTAATTGGAATAATTAGAAGGGCACATTTGGCATTTTTTAACAAAAAACAAAACCAGGGTTTACTTTTGTATTATGTAAAAAGGATCTGATTAACAGATAACCGATGGTAACAAAAGTTTAATTCAAAAAGAGTAAACTGTTTTTTAAGTACCAGAGGCACTGCTGGAACAGGATGAAAACTGATACAGCAGTTAGTAATTACTGCTTACTCTTCAAACTGGTTCCCCTAAAGACTTCTATTTAGCAGACACTTTAAAACAGGCTGTGTACAGAAAACAAGTAATAGCACATTTATTTGTATTTTATTATTCAGACTGGCCACCATCCCAGCTAGATAAAAGGGAGGTTTTACTGGGCTGTAATACCTAGCACCTGCATGTTTTCAGAGCACTTCTAAAGGGGTTTTCTCACTCTTTTCACACTATCAGCAGGGAACACGTTCCCCATTTTGCGGGGAAACCAAGGCCAGGAGAGGTGAAGCAGCATACCCCAGGTCACCACCCAGATCTCTTGCCTCCAAGTCCAAGACTCTTTCCTCTCCCCATTCTCCTGATCTGTGACCTCCTGGGCATTCTGGCCAATCTGCTTCCCTCTGACTTTGCAGACTGCACTAATGGAACTACCAGAGTAATGCAGGTCTGAAGCCTACAATCTCCTGACCAGCCTGTGCTTCTTGGTTCTTACGCAAGCCAGTTCTTTCTATAAAATATTTCTAAGCAGCTCTCAACCACCAGGTCTGAGGATCCCTGTTGTCCCTTAGCCAAGGCTGCTGTCTCCCCCAGATCCCCATCTCACCAGGATCACAAGGATACCCGCAACTATTACAGGAAACATAGGTTCTTCCTGCAATAAAATTAAAGTTGCTAACATCTACTGAGTACCTACTGATTACTGTGAGGATGAGGTAATGTATGTAAAGTTTTAGCACAATCTGTGACAATGTATGTAAAGTTCTTAGCATAGTCTCTATACTAAGAACTTTACATAATTACCAAATCCTCACAACAACACAACAAAAATTTTTACCCCTATTTTACAGGTGAGGATACTGAGGTTCGGAAGGGCTAAGTGACTTCCCCAAGGTCATCCGGTTAGTGGTTAAGGCAGTATTCATAACTCACGTCTGTCAGACTCCAGAATCCACTTTACGTTCTCTCTGCTACACTGCCCTGGCTCCCCACCCTACAAGTACTTAGAGACCTAAAGCAAAGTGGAAAAGGAAAAGTGAGGCAAGACGGAGGGGCTTTTTCATTTTCACTGCCTGGCTCCCAACTCAGACTCCGGCAAGGCTAATTCCATGATGTTTCACTGGCCAACAGTCCCACCAGCCTGGAGCCCTGGGGAGCTGACAAAAGTCAAAAGGCTCCCTGGCAGGCTTGTTCTGGCAGCTGCCCAGCCGACTTGTGCTAACACAGCAACAGGCACAGGAAAGGGTCTAGAGAGAGTGGAAAAGCACCAGACACTGAGCCGCTGCAGGGAGAGAAGTGATTCCTGCCGTGCTCCGACAGGATAACCCTACGCTAAAGCCATCACAGGGCTGGGAAGAGACCGGGGAGGGAGGCAGCAAAAGGCCCCAAGCACGTCCACTTACTGTGACTGGAAGGCCAGTCAAAAAGAGGGTCACACGCCTCCAAGGTGAATCAGCAACGATGGGAGAAAACCAGTCTGCACCGTGGTTCATCCCAGCAACCCTCACCTGTCATACCTGCATCCACGTAAACCTTGCTACCTAATGTCACCTGAGCAGAGGTTAGAAGCGCGCATATACTATCTTACAACCACTGCAATTGCTGATCTCAGCCAGGCTGTGGGAAAGAAAGATCTAGCTGAGAATACTAATAGATTTGCTAGAGGAAGAAATTCAGTGAGGATATACCCTTGGAAAGGAAACGTATTTAAAAGGGGGCACAATCAAAGTGAGACTGGAAGAAGGGAGCCACCTGGATTTCCAAAGATAGGGCTCTCTCGACCTGACACCGAGAGGAGGCCAACGGGTGGTGACAGAAATACCTAAAAGATCTGAAAACTCCAAAAATGTCCATGGGAAAATTTGTTTGGTATTGTTTCTGTAGGCTTTCCATCCTCTTGTTTTTCTTAGGTTGATATTAAGCTGCCTTTGTACAGGATGCCCAAAAGTGTTTTGAGGGAAACCAGTTCTGGGATCTAGTATGTGTCACAAGTTGTTAGATTGAAAAAAAAAAAAAAAAAAGTATTCTTAGGTGTCATCAGAAGGAGGGGCAGTTTGAGAGGTCACTAATTGGCAGCCACTGGGTCAAATTAACCCCATGGGTATGTTAGCATGCTTAGAATTTTTCATAATGAATTATCAACACTTAAAAATCAAAAGGTTACACATACCAAAAACCCCTGAATTTCCAGCATCTTTTAATTTTGTACCCCCTCTGGAGCTCTCAGAACATCTTAGAACCTCTTAGAACATCTTTTCGAAAAATTCAAAATCTGGTACCACTGGATGAGCAGCGCAGATTAAAAGGTGAGTCGCCACTGCCCCCTTTTGGCAGGTCTGTGCTTTCTGACAGTGTGGTGGCTCATTTGTCACCTGACCTTGACAGCACCAGTGTTAGGTTTAGCCCAGGGGAAGTGACCACAGGCTTGGTAATGCCCAGGACTGCCATAGGGTGGCAGCACTGGTGTGCCGATGAGGCCTGCTCATCAGCCAGAACCAGAAAGCCCCTTACTTGGGTAGCTGACAGTCTCTCCCTAAGCTCCCTATCAGATTTGTTCCCTGGGAAGCAACAGCAGCTCACTTCCACATTCCCACTAGGCCTCAGTGACCTAGATAGAAGCCAACGACTCAACCTGCTCCCTCCTCTCAGGCCACCACCTTGCAGGAAGGCACCTCCAGCTGGCACGTCTCCACAGCTGGCACCTCTAACTGCTCAGGAACGCCACCCTCACCCACCTGTGAACACCATCAGGCCTCAGGAGAGAGAGCCTGAGATAAGAAGCAGAGCCAATTCCCATTCCCTTTTAGAGGCAGATTCATTCTTCATCAAATGTTCAGTACTGCCCTTTGCTCACTTAAGTTAAACATCAGTTGGCTTCAAGAGGCAACAGCTTCTTATGCTTCTTCCTAACCTCTGCCTTTACTCCCCTCACAGCCTCACCAGCAACGTCTTACGTGGCAACATTTAGTAGAACTCCTAGAGCCCTTTAGGAAAGACATTTGGTATTATGCATGAGATCCTCAAAACTGCTCACTCATCCTATTTCATCCAAAATGACATTTGCTATTTTTACTATTTATTTCAAAATGCAGAAAAAGCTTTATATATTCGTTGCAGTGTCTAAAGGAGTGAATGACCAGAAGCAATTCAAATGTCTAGCAATATGGAAATTGTCCAGGATAAACTTATGCCATACTCCCACTTGATAGACAATTATGTTGCTATTAAAAACAACTACAGGCCACCAGGCACAGTGCCTCACACCTGTAATCCCAGCACTTTGGGAGGCCAAGCCAAAGGACGGATCACTTGAGGTCAAGAGTTCAAGACCAGCCTAGCCAACATGATGAAACCCCATCTCTACTAAAAACACAAAAATTAGCTGGACATAATGGCTTATGTCTGTGTTCCCAGCTACTTAGGGAGCTGAGGTGGGAGAATCACTTGAACCCAGAAGGCAGAGGTTGCGGTGAGCCAAGATCATGCCACTGCACTCCAGCCTGGGTGACAGATTGAGACTGTCTCCAAAAAAAAAAATAAATAAAAATAAAAATAACAGACCAACCAAGGCCGGAGGATCACTTGAGCCCAGGAGTTTGAGACCAGCCTGGGCAGCAACATAGTGAGACCTGGTTCTACCAAAAAAAATTTTAAATTAGCTGGGCATGGTGGCATGCTCCTGTAGTCCCAGCTACTTGGGAGGCTGAGGTGGGAGGACTGCTTGAGCCCAGGAGGTCAAGGTTGCATTGAGCTGTGATTGTACTGCACTAAAGCCTGTGTGATACAGTGAGACCCCGTCTCCAAAAGCCCAATTATGATGACCATATAAAATGGAAAAATTATAATAGTATGTAAGAAACGTATACAAAACTAAATGTACATAGTGATAACTATCTTTAAAACCTATGCAGAGAATTAGTAAAAGACAACAAAATGTTAACAGGTGGTTATGAAAGAGCTGAGAACATGGGTAACCTTCTTAAAATCCCTACCAAATTTTCTTGAATGTGCATATAATACTTTTATAGGGAAAAGCGTGTGTGTGTGTGGTCTACTTCCATTTAGGCTTGAAGGTGCTACAGTCAACTGTAATGATGGTAAAAGGTTCTTGGGAATCTGTGCCTCCAGGATTCAGTGCAACTATCCTAGTAAAGCAGTTTCCAGGGCTCCTTGGCACCCTTTAGTACCAATCTTATCCTGCTCTAAAATGCCTGTACTTGCCTGACTCCTAAGACCCCCAAATACCATCTGGATGATAGGATTCGATCATTATGGTTCTCAGATACCACTTTAATCAAGTTTTGCACTATACAGTGATGAGGGTAGAAGACAGTGATGGTTTTCAAGCAAATTCACCAGGCACATGTTTGGCCCTGCCCCAAAGTCTGGGCTTCCCAGAACAGAAAAATGCTTTCCTTCCCTGGGGATTCCTATTCCTGAGCTGACAAGACAGATTTCAGTAAGAATGAGCACAAAGGATAGGGCAAAATAGTGAAGGGAGCCAGGTGCATATTTGAATTCTTCCCAGTGCAGACTGGAACTAGACATGCAGGTATCCCTCCTAAAGGCAACACCCAAATCCCAGCCATTCCCACTCGAGGCCAAGCCGCCTGCCCATGGAGACTGATAGCCAACGTTCATCTCATAACGCTCCTCCCAGCAGTGCACCAGTAAACTCAGACGCCCGAGTGCTTGTGGCCACCACACAACAGATGCGGCCTTCCTCTTCAATGTCCCTTCGGCAGCTGCTGGGTCTGCCTGGCCATCAAGGAGCAGCCAGTACTTGTATGGCTGTGCGGTATGGGAGGGGCCAGAATATGCAACAAAGCCAATCAGATGTGGGTTCTGGGGCTGGGTGGACATGATAGCAGGACCAGTCACAGGCCACAGTAGGACCACAGGGCCCTGTGTCCTCCATTAATTCTTCTCTGGGCGGTTTCTGTTCAGCACAGCTTTTGGGGCAAATTCTAGCTTGTCCTTAAGGCTCACCACCTGGGTGTGGTCCTTGCCTAGAAGCTCATCCAGCTTGCGATCCTCCCGGCGCTCTGAGATGCTCTTTTCCTCCTCCGCAGGCTGGGGGTCCTTTCCCCTGATGAACCATTCCAGGTGGTAGCCCACAGCCCCAACCACGAAGGCGACAGGGAATGTAACATAGGGAGCATAGGTACGAACCGCGGTCCAAAACACAGGCCACATGACATCTGCAGAAGAGCACAAGGTGCATTAGAGAGAACCCAGCATCCTCTCCCACCAAATAAGAGCAACCCACTGGGGCTCTCCACTCACCAGGCAGCCTGGCCCAATTTACTGAGCACCCAGTCCTGTGCAGAGCAATGCGAGAGGACGGTCCCTGAAATAATCTAAGAAATTTCAAAAGATTCCCTTGTTAGGGAAGAAGGAAGAATCTCCATTTTATTGACTGTACTCTTTGACACATGTGCACCAATATAAGACAATGTTCCTCACAAGGGGACCTCTGAGCCTTACCTAATAGGGCTTCAAGTCTACAGCTGACCCCAGGCCCTCCCTCTAGTTTGCCAGCATTTCAAGACGGGGAAAAGCAGCCTTCCTCTGCTCTATGAAGTTTCTCCATGAGTGCAGCCAGCCACCTTTTCCCCATGACACACAATTCTACGATGAATCTCCTGGTTCCACAATATGAAAAGTAGTTCCTTTTCTTCATGTAAAGCATAAGGAGTATATTGAAACAGTCACATCCATAATGCATTACCTAATTATCCTGGATTTCAGGTAAACAGATAACTGTTTTATCCTATTCTGAACCTGGCTTTTCCAACAATGAGACAAACCTATACGTTACAAATCTGGCTAACTAAACCACTTTCAAAATATCCTATCTTGGCTGAAGACAGTGGCTCATGCCTGTAATCCCAGAACTTTAGGAGGCTTATAATCCTTATTACTTAGGGGGCTGAGGCAGGAGAATCGCTTGAACCTGGGAGGCAGAGGTTGCAGTGAGCTGAGATCATGCCACTGCACTCCAGCCTGGGCGACAGAATGAGATTCTGTCTCAAGGAAAAAAAAAAAAAATCCTATCTTCAACCAAACGCATACCCTCGTATTGACATAAAAAGCTCCTGAAAATATTACAAATCATTATACATACTCTGGACAACATAAGACTCGAAGATTTTCTGCAAAAAAAAAAAACCACAGTACAAGCCATGTACAGTTGAGGGGGACAGAGTGAATTGCCTCAGGGACTCCTGAAATGAAGTAGTCCAATACTGAAGTAATGTAAAAACACAAAAATTGGGTCACTCTAATGACTATTCAGGCTGAAATGATTATTACCGTTATCAATTATCAAAGCTCATTCACAGTTATAACACAGCTGCCATTTATTGAGCACTTATTACATGCTAGGCCATCAGCTAGGCGCTTGGTATACACTCTCTCTCTTAATCCTCATGTCCACCATGTGAGGTAGATACTTAACCCACTATCAGAGGGTTAAGTAACTTGCCCCAAAAGTATCAACTAAAAAATCTTTGTCGATGCCCCCATAGGTATTTCTCCAACACTGCTATCTCTGATCTAAAGAAAACAATCGAAACCTCACCAAGGATAAGATGACTCTCCCCCTCTTTCTTTGGTTCTAATTCTCTTTGAAAGAATCCCAGTGTTCTCTGGACCTAACACTATAAGGCAGCAGTCCCCAACCTATTTGGTGCCAGGGACCAGTTTCGTGGAAGACAATTTTTCCATGGATGAGAGGTGGAGAGGGATGGTTTCGGGATGAAACTGTTCCAGCCCAGATCATCAGGCATTAGATTCTCATAAGAAGCATGCAACCTAGATCTTCGCATGCGCAGTTCACAATAGGGTTTGCACTCCTGTAGGACTATAATACTGCTGCCGATTTAACCAGAAGATGAAGCTCAGGCGGTAATGCTTCCCAGCTCACCCACCGCTCAACACTCACCTCCTGCTGTGTAGTCCAGTTCCTAATGGGCTGAAGACCACCCCTGGTCTGTGCCCCAGGGGACTGGGGACCCCTGGAATAAGGGAGTTATCATGAAATTAAAAAAAAAAAAAAAAAAAAAAACTGCAGCAGCTCCAAGATTCCGCTCCTTATTGTCTTAGCACCAGGCACTATGATGACAATTCACACACTAATCATCCTCTGATCCTCATAACACCTTTATGATGTAGGAATAATTAGGCCAGACTCTAGTTAAGCCACAAAGGCTCACAGACATTTTTGGGGTACTTACCCAAGATCACCAGAAGAGATAGAGCCACTGATTTTGAACCCAGGCCTCTCCAACTTAAAAGCCTACACTCTTTCTAGTGGGAAGAACACACTGCAGAGGTATATGATTTCTGACCAAATTCTGGACTGAGAGAGAGCTCCTACAGTTTATTCCCATCAGCCTGGCATTTCATTACCTAGAAGTGCTCCTTTTTCCCAGACTCCAAGATTATACTCAGGGATTTGTGAAATTCTGAGATATAGCAGTAGTTACAAGAGGCACCTCTAAAGAATCCCAAACCTAATACTTCTCTGTTTTATTTCCCACCTTTAAAGCAAGTCCTCTGTATATGTAAATGTTTTCCCTAAATAGCAATTGTCCATTCAGATTTCCAAATTTTGTCTTAAAACATATCGAGCATGAGATCACAACTCTCACAGGCAGCATAAAGTCGCTCTTTACCGGCCTGCTCACATTCTATCATTCCCAAATAAGTCAATTAATTCCTTTATTCAACACTTATAACCACTTGCTCTGTGTCAGGCGCGGTGCTGACTTAACCTGTTTGCATTTCTCAAGACACTTTAAGCTCCAAAAGGGCAAGAGCCATGTCTGTCTGTCCCCATTGTGCCCTGTCCATCCCTGCACCTCTCCTACCATGCCTGGCAGAGTGCCCAAAAAAGGTCTGTTGAACAAATGAATGACAGTCCAAACAACTCCCTAGTGTAAAATCACATCCTCCACCCACTCCCCCAAAAGGTAGCAAGAACATAACAGATGCCTTTGCTGATTACAAAAACCTAGAGACTCCATCATAGTCATCCCCAGGGTATCACAATGAAAGAGACAAAAGTGAAAAATACTGTGACGCATATCTCCAGCCCGGCATGGAGGAAGTGTGCCAAAAGCATCCAGTAAAGGTCAACTGGGTTGCTGGGAAATCTGCCCCAGTTGGGTGCCTGGAGGCCCAACGAGGCCAGAGCCGTCGTCCCACATTAAAGAACTGCTAACAAGGACAGAGGAGGCCTGAGATGCCGGAAGAATTAACCCTGACAGTCACTCGAGCGCACTCCAGGGATGGGAGCGCAAATGAGGTCAGGGTCCAACTGGCTACCCTTCTCCCTTCCCTGGGGCTGCCGGTCCCCTGCCCCTAGCCCACCTCATTCATGGCCTCATCAACGTCCATCCTCATTGAGGTGCCGAGAAGCCCTGCCTGCAGCGGACCAGCTGGGCTCCGAGACTTGGTACCAGAACACCCGCAAAAGAGGGGGTCGTCACGCCTGGCCGGGACCGGGGTGGACCCTAGCGATCACTCCTCCCATAACTCAGAGGTTACGGGCCTGGGCTGACAAGACCTGCTCGCCGGGACCGCGCGCTCACCTGTGGCCCAGCCCACACTCCCCAGCGCGGCCCCCGCTCTCCGCCGGCTCGCCGGGAGCACGGAAGTCGCAGCTCCCAGCGGCCCGCGGGACCTTGCCCTGTGACCCTGCCCACTGGCCGTTGGCCCTCTGGGAGCGCAGGGATTGGCTGAACTTTAGCCAAAGAACGGAAGGAAGCTAGGCGTCCGCAACCGGACCTCGCTGCGCTGAGATGGACTTCGCGCCCCCTGGTGGCCTGGAGGCTTCTCAGCGATGTTGCCACATGCTTTCTGCGTGGAAAAAGTGAAAGATAATCCAGTTATTTTTTTCAACTGATGTGTACTAGGCATCTTCTAAGACCTAGGTCTGGGCACACAGAAACAAAAGACATGGTCCCTGACCTCAAGAAGCTGTTTTTTTTTTTAAACGAAGTCTTGCTCTGTGGTCCAGGCTGGAGTGCAGTGGCGCGATCTCGGCTCACTGCAGCCTCTGCCTCCCGAGTTCAAGAGATTCTTCTGCCTCAGCCTCCCGAGTAGCTGGGACTACAGGGGCACGCCACCACGCCCAGCTAATTTTTGTATTTTTAGTAGACATGGGTTTTCACCCTGTTGGTCAGGATAGGCCTCTTGGGATCTGGACTAGCTTTCTAGTGACCTTGGGAATATTATTAACCTGTTTGAGGCTTCCCCTTCTGTGTAGAGGTAATAAGATCCATTTCGCAGGGATGATGTGAGGGTTAGATAACATATTTGTAAAGTACTGTGCCAGGCACACAGCCAGCAGGAAAATAAATGTGGCTATTGTTAGTCTAAAAATAATTGAAATATAGTAAAACCTAAGTCTTAAATGACCTCTGGAGTACAGGTATTCACTTCCTCCTCTGTGTCCCCTCTGTACCCTACATAAACATCAATTTAATTATATACAGAAAAGTCCCAAAGTTCAAGCTTCTTGATGCCCCCACAGGAGGGCCCTTCCCACCCTCATCCCACTAATCTCAGCCTGCGTATTTATTTTACTAGCACATACTAAACCCAGCAGGCCACACTGTTTCACACCTCAGTGCCTTCCTGATGCTTTTTCATCTACCTAAAGTGTCCTTTCCACCTTTTTTTTTTTTCAAACAGGATCTTGCTCTGTCGCCCAGGCTGGAGTGCAGTGGCACAATCATAGCTTACTGCAGCCTCGACCTCCTGGGCTCAAGTGACTCCCACTTCAGCCTTCCCAGTAACTGTGACCAGAGATGCACATCACCAGGCCCGGCTAATTTTTGTGCTTTTTGTAGAGACCGGGTTTTACCATGTTGCCAGGCTGGTCTCAAACTCAATCAGTCTGCCCGCCTCAGCCTCCCAAAGTGCTGGGATTACAGGTGTGAGCCATCGTGCCTGGCCATGAAGTGCCCTTCCCACCTTTCTTTACTATGCCAAACTGTGCTCTGGCACAATTTTCAAGCTTAAGGGTGACCTCCATAGGAAGCCTCATACATAGACTGCTTATCACGTTAGATACCCTTCCTCTATTATCTCAAAAAGCTCAAAGCTAAGCTCTGGAAGCGAAGACGGAGAAAAGGGAACAGTAATGTACAAGCCAAGGTTCACTGAAAATCAACTGACAAAAGGCAGATTAATAGGAGAAAAGACATACAAAATTTTATTTTAACGTGCATAGCACGGGGGGTGGGGTGGCCGGGAAGGGAAGGGGTCACAGGAGAATGGTTACCCAATAACCCAATGGGGTACAGAAGCTTATACACCCTTTTTCACAGGGGAAGGGGAGAGACGGAGGATATAGACAATTCTTTTGAGGGCCCTAAGTGATTCTTAGAGAGGAAAAAATGGACAGAAATTCACTTGTAAATGATTCTCTTTAGAATTTGAATGAGCCCAAGAAGCAGGCATCATCTTGTAAAAAATCCATCCAGGTGTGGTTGCCTTCCTCAGTCTTCTTTTCAGAGACAGATGAGATTTCGGAGAGGGGAGGAAGGCAATTTTGTTTTTTTTTTTTTTGGAAAGAGGTTTTCTTGATCAGATTAGGAAATTCCAGAGAGTCCCTCCCTGTACTTGGGAAACAAGGTTAGAGGGACCTTGATTCTGAGGCAGCTTCGAAGGCCTCTCAGCATGTCAAAGCGCCAATCTTTGGGGTATTGCTTTCCGAGCCCCAACAGTACAAAGAAATATTTAGGAGACCATTGTTAGCAGAACCTGTGCACTAATTGAATATGTGGAGAGGAGAAGGGAACAGAACTGCCCAGAGGAACTGGCATTCGGTCAGCCAATCATGTGCTAGGCATTGGGGATGCAAAAATGACTGGGACCAACCTGCCTCCGGAGTTCTCTGACTAAAGAAACAGATGGGTCTACAAAATGTCAACAGAGTGTAAGAAATGTGATGACAGAAGTATACACACGCAGCACAGAAGAGGATCTTCAGCCCGGCCACAGGAAGGTTCAGGGAAGGCTCCCTAGAGGAACCAGGCCTTGAGCTGAATCTTGAGTCATGGCTAGCGGTTCCCTCAAGCAGAAGTGCTGAGGGGCTCAGGAGCATAGACTTAGAAATCAGATAGCCATGGGTTCAAATCCTGACTCTTGTCTGCTAATCTCAGAAAAGCTATTTACACTCTTTGTTTTAAAAAAAAAGACAATAGTACCCGCCCCTAGGGTTGCTGTATTAAATCAATCTAAACGTGTATAAAGTGCTTGGCATAGTAGTTTGCACCTTCTCAGTGCTCAGTAAATGGTTATTGACATGTTAAGTATTTCCAAACTGTATTGCTCCTTCTGTAATGTCCTATGTCCATTCGTGGCTTTACTCATTCATTAAGCCAGAAATCTGAGTGACACCTTCAAGGCGTCCCATCTTTGCATTATTCCCCAGATCCAGCTTACGGCAGCTATGCCTCCTAAATGTCTCTCAAAGTCAACATCATTCTCTCTTACCTGGACCACTTTAGCAGCTCCCTCAAAGGTCTCCCTGCCATCTTGTTGCCCCCGCCAGTGCATTTCCATTCTGTTGACCATAGTTTTATCTTTCAAATAAAACTATGAGGTCTCCATCTTAGCCCCCAATCACCAACTCTATATTGGTCCCTTCTGGCCATATCTCCTCCACGCCCTCTCCAGCCACCATCACCTGTCACCCTCTCCAGCCTATGCTTTCATTCCCAACACACGTGCTTCCATGGCTTTGCCCGGGCTGGTCCCTTGGCCTGAAATGAATTTCTCCCTTCTCTTCCTTGACTGCAAAATGCTAATTCATCCTGCAAGATCCAGTTCATAAGGCAGAAAGCTTTCCCAGACTACCTGTGCTATGGTTGTACCCTCCAAAACTTATGCTGAAATTTGTCATCGTAAGTATTAAGAAGCGAGACCTTTAAGAGGTTATTAGGCCATGAGGGCTGCACTCTCAAGAGTGGAATTAATGCCCTTATACAAGGGCAAGTTCAACTCCCTCTCTTGCCTGCTCAACTTCTGCCATGGGATGACACAGCAAGAAGGCCCTCAAAGGATGCCAGCACCGTGACATTGAATTTCCCAGCCCCCAGAACTGTGAGCCAATAAATACCTGTTTATTATAAGTTACCCACTCTGTGGTATTCTATTATCGCAGCACAAAACGGATTAAGACACCCTGGTTGCTGGAGGCTCTCTCCTCTCAATCCCTCGGCCCTTCTGGGAAAGCAGGCCTCCCTTTGCACCATAACTTTCTGTTTATGTGCCTGGTCATGGCCAGACTATAAGCAACTCAAGCAAAAGGACTGGATCTAATCTTCAACTCATCTATGGGGCTCAGCATAACTACCTAGGCCACAAGAACCAAAGGAGACTCATGCACACCAGCCCCAGCTGGGGAGATTTTAGACATCATGTCTGCAGCAGGATGACCACAGAGTTGCAGGTGCTGACCTGTTCCTTTGTGCCCTCTCTCATATACCTCACAATCCTGGGAAACCTGGCTGTTTCTGAGAAAAGTCATAGACCCATTAAATGCTGTATAATGTAAAGGGTTAAACTCAGACTCAGCCACTTCCTGGCTTCATGGTTTGAGGTAAGCTGTTTAAACCTCTCCAAGTCCCAGTTTCCTCATCTGTAAATGGGGGTGATAACGACACCTGTTTTACAGCATTGCTCTGAGTTCAGACCTCACCCATGTCCCAATTTTAGAGATGATAAAACAATCTTAGTGAAGTAAACTGACCCAGTTTACTTCTATCGGAGACTTTTGGACAGTCATCCAATTTAAGTCTTCCCAAACCTGGCTGCTCAGGATCTTGTGGAGCACTTGTTAAAAACTTATTGGAGGGCAGAGTCTATTCACTAAGTCTTGGACCAGGCTCAGGAGTCTGTATGAGATCAGCTCCAAGCTGATTGCTTTTGGGAATTCAGGTCCCATTAGAGCCCTCCTCACCTTCCAGCTCACATGAGTGTGTGTGTGAACCATCTCTTGCTTTTCAGAAGTCATCTACCAAACCAGTCTATAAATCATTCATGCCACTCTTCTGTTCAAAACCCTCCTCTGGCTCCCTACAGCCCACAAGACCCAGGCCATCCTCCTCAATGAGACCCAAACACGGATATGATCAAGTCTCTGTGCTCCCAATGTCTCTTCGTCCTCCAGGCCTTTGCACAGCTGTTCCCTGATCTTGGAACATTCTCCCCAGCCCTGGCCCTCCTTCAGCAGCTAACCCCTCATCATCTTTCTGGCACTCACTCCTGTATTTTAACTGCCTGCTTACTTCTCTATTTTTCCCATACCACCATAATAAGCTCCATTCAGGGTAGAAACTACACCTTGTTCAGGGCTATCCCTGTGGTGCCTGAAAGCGATAAATGAGTGCCACATAAACGAATGAGAAGAATTAGCGGATCCAGTGTGGCCCAGAAAAGCAGCCAACACTGAAGGCTTTTCCTCCTGCCTGGAGGTGATACACCAACCCAAAGGACTGCTCAAGGAGTGGAAAGGGGCTTTCTGGGTGGAGACTGCCAACAGCCCTCTCTGGTCTAAGAAGGCTGCAGAGCTAAAATCTCATGATTTGGCATTTGACCTCGGACAGGTCGTGTAACCTGCCCTGAGCTTCGGCTTTCTCATCTGTTGTAAGGACCAGCCACATTCATGTAAAGCACTCACCCCTTGCCTGACCCACATTGACCACTCAATAAAGCCATCGACA